AGGGATTAATAAAAGGCCTTTAGTAATACAATTTTAAAATTAATTGTTGTTTCGGTTTATGCTATTTGATGAACCTGCGCTAAGATGAAAAATAAACTTTTGAATTTGTATTAAGTAGCAGTAACAGAGATGAATAAATATTGGAAGAAATGTTTTGCTTATGCATTAACCATTGTTATCTAATGAAATGCTATTAGTAACTAACAAAAAAATTTTTACATGCTTTTTTGCATGAGTTTTACAGGTTTTTGTGAAATGGATATGCAAATAAAGAAAATCTGTGTAAATAAGATGTAGAAGCAGCAAAGGAACACTTGCATTGTTGTTTGTGGGAGATTATCAGTGTAGAGCATTGTCAGAAGTGCAGCATGAAGAATCATGTTCCTGCAACAAACTAATATGTGTCCCTGGAGCACAAAAGCAGTCTTAAGTCGCTGGGGTATATTTGTAGCAATAGCCAACAATACATTGTAAATCTCAATTTCATGAAATTGACCCTTATGACTAGTTTTGTGCTCCAGGGTCACATATGGAGTTACTAAGGAAGCATGACTGAATGAGGAAAGAAATGGTGGAATAAGCAGACTTACAGAGGTGTAGTGTGCCGTGCCTTTGCTCGATGGAGTCATGCAGGTCGAGTCGCTGGTCTTCACACAAGGGCTGCCGCTCCAGCCACAACGACTGCTTAAATACTGCTTCACTAATGCATCGCAATAAAAACAGCTCATCAATCAAATTCCACCGCCAATAGGATCCTTCCATCAATTTAAGCTACAGCTGCTCTATTGCATTTTCATGTATCACTCATTTTAGTGCCAAAATGAGCTCATTCAACAAGATATTTCAGTGTAGAAAACCAGCAAGCAATGATGCAAAACTACTCTAATGTTCTCATCTTTTCCCATTGCAGCTGTTCGACAGGTGAGGACTTTCTGAGCGAACAGGGCATCGATTACTCAACCTGGGGTTTGTGGCAGAATCATTTGGCTCTGGGAATCATGACCCTCATCTTCCTCATCATCGCTTACCTCAAGCTGCGCTTCATCAAGAAATTTACCTGAACACAAGCTCACGGTCTTCTTCACACACGTCCACAGCATCCACCAAATCCCATTTCCCACTCTAACAGTCGTGATGCTGAAGGAAATCATGAACATAAATCCAATCATGCTGCAGACAGAATTGAACGTGAAGAATTGACTGTGCTCAGGCTTATTGTTCTCAAATAGTTTGCACACCAAAGATTTGTTTTAAAATTAATGTTTTGTTTTTTTGCTCAGTAAAAGTAGTTAATAAAATATGGCAATATGGAGTCTGTTACGGATATGTTCAGTTAGTTTCTGTTTAATGGACTTATTTTCATCATTTCCTGTATTCCTTTGGTTTTCCCATTTGTCATTGGTTGTCATAGTTACTGATATGATTAGTTGTTTAGTTCAGCTGTGTCTTGTTAATGTACCCTGTTTGTATCAGTACTTAAGTTCTTCCTTCTGTGTTCTTTGTCCGGTCTCGTTCTCATTAGTGTTGGTTTTTGTCTCCTGTTCTGTTTGCCAGTGTGTTATGGATTAAAGACTTTCTGGTAAGGACTAAATCTGTGCTCTGCCTGTCTGTCTACAACACATCATAGTCATCATACACACATCATAGTCCAGTTTGACACCTTTTAGTTGTTTTTGTTTGCTGAATATTCTTGTTGGGGGTTTTCAAAGTGATGCCATAGAAGATTCTGGGTTCCCCAAAGAACCTTTCATTGATCCGTTCCTAAAATATAGTCTTAAAACTAAAGCTTCTTTATTGGCATTGATGGTTCCATGAAAAATCTGTAACATCATTGGAACCTATTCAATCCACAAAAGATTCTTTATAGTGGAAAATATTCTTCTGATTATTGAAATGTTTTTCACTAAGAAAAAAATGGTTCTTTTAAAAACTGTTCACTGAAAGGTTCTTCGGGGAACTAAAATTGGTGCCTCTATGGCAGGGGTGTCCAAACTCGGTCCTGGAGGTGCCACTGTCCTGCAGAGTTTAGCTCCAACCCCAATTAAACACACCAGAACCACCTAATCAAGGTTATACTAGGCATGCTAGAAACTTCTCGGCAGGTGTGTTGAGGCAAGTTTGAGCTAAACTCTGCAGGACACCGGCCCTCCAGGACTGAGTTTGGACACCCCTGCTCTATGGCATCACTGCAAAAATTCCCTTTATTTTTTAAGTGTAACCATTTATTTTCTTAGTATGAAGAATATTTTAATCATTCAAAGAACCATTTTTGTAGTATAAAGAACCTTTTGTGCAATTGAAAGGTTCCACGGATGTTAAAGGTTCTTCATGGAACTATTGATGCCAATAAAAAGAACTTTCGCACCGCATAGTTCTAAGAACTTAAGGTGTGTTCATGCCATATTGTAATTACCGTGTAAAAGCGTCCTTGTAGAACTCGTAATTACAACTTATGATCTGGGAGTTTTCTGAGAGCTACGACTTGTACCACCTGACCACCTCAGATCCATTAGGTGCTATGTTTAGGCTTTCAGTGCGTTCCAAACGGGATATATCGCCCTCCGAAGGGCACTTCGGAGTGAAAACAATCATAGCCGCCATATTGAAGGGTCGTTCCAAACCGAAGTGCTCAAAACTGGCCGCTTCAAAGGGCCTTTTGGAATGAAGGATTTTGAAGGGTACAACTGATGGACACTTCGGGCTCCCATGATTCTTTGCGCAGAATGACGGCGCCTCTGTGTGGGCACGTGATCATGATGCAGAAGGGCACTTCAAGAAACCGTTGTTTGGTCCCCTACACCCTTCAACCCTTCAAAGCTCTCACTCCGGAGGGTAAACCCTTTGAAGGGATTAGGGCATAGGGATGAGCCCTTCTGAATGGAACGCAGGGATTGATAGTGCGATAGTTCCGTGTCCGAGTCCAAGGTCGTGAACAGCTCCCAGTAGAAACTCTGAAGCAGCCGGCAGCGACATCTTTATTCTCTGTATTTACAAACATCAACAACCGGTGAATGGAGGACGCCATGATCGGAGCTATTTCTGTTGCGTGTTGTGGGTTTCATAATGGAATGTAAACACACAATTTACGTGAATAAAAGAGCACGAAAATGCGATTTAATCTCCTTTGACAACTTGCAGTGTTATCACCGAGGCTAAGAAAAGAACACAACGCTGCAGACAACAGGTAGCTAAATGCCATTATTACTGCTTTTTCCCATGTTCGTGGAGTAAATATTTTTACTCGGCTTTTAAAAAATGCTGGGTAGCCAGTGTTTCGTATGCGTTTGGCCAATCAGCATGCTTTTAAGTCACTGATAGTTCCTATGGAACTGTTTTAGACCCCACTCTGAAGTAGGAGCTAATTTAGTTCCCCCAAAAGGAGTTCCTAGAACTAAATACGTTCCTAGTTCCTGCGGTGTGAACACGCCTAAAAGCGGGAACTTCCATCAGTAGTTCTAGGAACTATGAAAAGGTTCCCCTGGTGCAAAAGCCCCTAAAGAATTCAATTCAAGTTTATTTGTATAGCGCTTTTCACGATACAATTCGTTGCAAAGCAACTTTACAGCAAATTAAGTTTCTACAATATTTAGTGGTAGCTTATCAGTGGTGACTGTCAGTTAATGTACATATGGCAGAAATGTACGGAAAAATCAATTAAAGACGTAATCAGACAGACGATGAACACTATTAACAGCAATTATTATATGATGCAATCAAACTTATAGCAAAATGTGGTAGTTCTGTATGTTGTTTCAGGGTTGGCATCATCTGAGGTCCTCTGAGGGGTTGGCATCATCTCTTCTCAGGTATTCTGGATCCAGACTGAAGCTTGTGTAAATCCTAGTTACCACGGGATGTCAATCGCAGGCAAAAACAGAGAAACAAATAGAGACATAATTAGCGTTGCTGCTGTTTGTCTGTCTGAAAGAGAGTCCTGATGCAATCTGAAGGCTCGAGTTGATCTTTGCTTTGTTGGTTGATGAAAAAGAACCAGTTTGACTCAGAGAATCCTGGTGAATGGAAAGTCAAGGCCGAAGCCTGGCACGAACTTAGCGGGTTGCAGAAGCG